CGCTTAATGACTGAGCCCCCCAGGCACCCCTAGCCTCAGATTTCTCCACGATGACATTCACTGTTAGAGAGTAAAGCACTATCTCCCAGAAAGAAAACACATGCTCCAAACTGTCATTCACTTCTAAAGGCAATCAGCAACTTTGAACATGCAAACACTCAGGGAATATTGTTCCCATGAGCTCTTTCTGAAGAAACTATCAGAGGGCAAATTTCAGTCAACCAAGACAAATGGAAAACCTAACAGCAGGGAGCTGCCTATGAGCATTGAATCTATTTAATTGTTGGACTTGAGCTAAAACAAAAATGGGAATTACAGTTCCAGAACCAAGTGCAAATGCTGTGACCTCTGACAAAGTGAAAACAATTTGAATAAGAAAGTTGAGAGAGGAATGAAGAAAAGGTAGGAAGTTAAAGAATTCTGATTTCTCTATTTTTTATACCTGGGGCCAAAAGTTTTCTTTAAACTGAGAAATTAATTAATGAGAATATAAGCATAATTAAGTTACAAAAAAAAGACAACACAATTTTTTTATAATGATATGATATGGACAATAGATAATATCACTAAAATTATGTGGTAAAAGAAAGGGAAGGGAGATAAAGAGGAAATAAAATAATCTCATCATTGTTCCTAGTAGAGAATTAATAAACATCAGCTAAAGAAATAGAGGATTCAGAATAATATCAACTATCCTTTTTAAAGTTTATTTAAGTAATCTCTATTCCCAAAACAGGACTCAAACTCGAGACCCCAGCAAGATCAAGAGTCGCACACTCTTCTGATTAAACCAACCAGGCACCCTGTATCAACCATCCTTAATAGACAACTCTTAGATCAAAAAATATCTGAACTATAACAGCAAGGAAACACTCCAAATCAGACCTTAGGGGTACAACTAAAACAGGGGTCCCAGAGAGGCTCATAGCCTTAGGTAACAGTTATGTCTACATAAAAAGGAAAGAAAAAATGAAAACTTCAAGCTCTGACAACTGAATATGTTAGGTTTATTTATCCTTGTTTGTTTCTTTTCTAAGGAAAACAAAATAAAGCAATAAAGATAAAAGAAATTAATCAATTTAAAAACAGAGGAAAAAATAGAAATAAATCCCCAGAGCTGGTGCTTTTTTTTTTTTTTCCACGCGATTACATTTTATCTTCCGAAAGGCATCCTCATTCCAGTTTGTTGCACAGATTACATGATCAAGGGGTTTAAAAAAAATGTTGATCGTGAAATCCCACGTTCATCTGCAAAAAGTCAAGCTATGCTGTTAGAGACAGCCAAGATGGTAAGAATACGAGTGTCCTTACGTCTATTGGATCTTGAGAATTACTGAGCAACACCCACAAGAAAAAGGCAAAACTCTACCCTCCTGAAAAGGTGTATCACTTTTTAGGAAACCAGGAGAGCTTCCAAAAGCCTCAACATCTGTGATTGTGTTAATAACCCTGACAAATGTCTCCTCCACAAACTGTGCTAAGTCAGCTAGGAGTCAACAGACCGGTGTCGGCAGGTAAAACACACCCCCGTTGCTATTTACGAGGGCATCTGGAGGTCCCAAGCTGCAGCCCCAGAGGCTCTTCCCTTTGTGTTCATACAGTACACAGACACCGAGGAAGAGACCTTGCTACCAGTACTACTTAAAGCAGGCACACTTAATACTGCAAGTCATTTTTAACAAAGAATGTCCCAACATTCAGTCTTTAAATGTGTGTGACAAAGCCAAGACACCCCACCAATCCAAAAACAAAACAAAACAAAAGGGCAAATAAAATCTTACCTAACAAATCAAGGGGGGAAAAAAGAGAGAACTCTTAAACATACAAAATAAATGAAACATAAGGAAAAATAGTCACGATACAGAAGAAATTAAAACATTCACAAAAGTTGACTTTTCTCAATCTTCCAAAGAAATTTGAAAAATCTTAATGATACAAATCCTTATCTAAGGAAGTATAATTTAACTAAACTTCCCAAGAAGAGACAGAAAATTTAAGCAGATCAACTATAGAGAAGAAACAGAAAAAGTGGTCAAACAGCTCTCCCACTCAAAAAGCACACACCCCAGATGGTCTCACTGGGAGTTCTACTAAACCAATGGCTCTCGATGGTGGCTGCACATTATAATCACCTGGGAAGCTTTTGAAACATCTGGGATTCCAGGCTGTCCCCCAACCAACTAAATTAGCATCTCTGGGGAGCGCCTGGGTGGCTCAGTGGATTAAGTGTCTCCCTTGGGCTCAGGTCATGATCCCAGGGTCCGGCTTGCGACCTGCTCCGCGGGGAGCCTGCTTCTCCCTCTCCCCCTGCTTGTGGTCTCTCTCGCTACCTCTCTCTCTCTCAAATAAATAAATAAAATCTTTAAAAAAATTTGGTTTAGAAATTAGCATCTCTGGGAGGTATCTGTAACTTTTAAGCTCCCCAGGTGATTCCAGCATGCAGTCAAGGTTGAGAACTACAATATCAAATTGTCAAAGACATTTATGATGCTATTTAAACTGCTCCTTTGTGTAGAAAATGAAGGAAATTATTAATTGTTTATAATTTACAAAGTAGGGGCACCTGGGTGGCTCAGTTGGTTGGGCGACTGCCTTCGGCTCAGATCATGGTTCCAGGGTCCTGGGATCGAGCCCCGCATCGGGCTCCCTGCTCAGCGGGAAGCCTGCTTCTCCCTCTCCCACTCCCCCTACTTGTGTTCCCTCTCTCACTGTCTCTCTCTCTGTCAATTAAATAAATAAATAGTCTTTAAAAAATAACAATAATAATTTACAAAGTAAATTCTTTGTAATATTACTATTAACAGTATTGCCTTGTATGTTAATTGATGATTATAATTATTTATATTAAATATAATTAATAATTAACTTATAATAATATTAGTAGTAGTGTTATTTTGTAATAATACCAATGACTACAACACTGACACAAAAATATGATAAAGATAGCACCAAAAAAACCACTACAGACCAATAGCACTAATGATCATCAATGCCAGAAAGCCTATATTGACTGTCAGCAAACAGAATCCAACAGCACATTAAAATAATGATACACCATTAGGTTTCTTCTAGGAATGTCGGTTTGTCTTAATGTTAGAAAATCTCTTTATGTGGGGCACCTGGGTGCCATAGTCAGTTGGGCCCGACTCTTGATTTTGGCTCAGGCCATGATCTCAGGGTCATGAGAGTCTACTACTACTCACCCTCTCCTACCCTGCCCACCCCCCGACTCCTGCATGCTCGTGTGCACTCTCTCTCGCTTGCTCGCTCTCTCAAATAGATAAATCTTTATTTTCTTATTTTTAAAATATTTTATTTATCCATTTGACACAGAGAGAGCACACACGAGCGGGGGAAGGGGCAGAGTGAGAGGGAGAAGCAGGCTCTCCACTGAGCAGGGAGCCTGACACGGGGCTTGATCCCGGGACCCCGGGGTCATGACCTGAGGCAAAGGCAGAGCCTTAACCGACTGAGCCACCTAGGCGCCCCTCAAATAGATCAATCTTTTTTTAAAAAAGGAAAATCTTTTAATGTAACTTCCATAATAGATCTAGGGGGAAAAATCATATATATAGTCAGATCTATAGATGCTATTAAAAGATTTGATAAAAATACAAGACCATCTTTTGATTAAAAACTCTCACTAAAATAGGAGTAGATGGATACTTCCTTAATGTAATAAAAATGACCTCTCACCCAATCCCAAAGCTGCATAATGGGGACACACTGGCTCTTCTCTCCACTCAGGATCTTTATTCCTGCTGTGTTCTCATTAAACACTTTGCTCCCAGATCTTCCCAAGGCTGATTCCTCCTCCATGTTTGGGTCTCAGTTCCTCTGAAGGGCTTCCCATGACCATTCAATGGAAGTAGTTCACTTTTCCAAAATTTCCATTTGTTCATTTTCTTATTCACTGTCTTCCCTCATTAAATTATAAACTCTAGATAAGCAGGATTTGGCCTGCTCTAGCACTCAATAGAGGATAGTGACAGAGAGAGAAAAAGAGAAACTATCCTTCTGGGATGCTAAACCCAGAGCATAGGCTATGGTGAGCAAAACAAAGGCCTATTTACAAAAAATAAAATACCTGTGGTTTGTGAGGGTTTTTTTTTTTTAATATTTAAAATCAGACAAGGCGGTATCTACAATTTAAAGGATTTCTTTATTATGTATTACCTCTCCATCACTCAAGGGTTCTTCTTTGGCTAAGTCCACCTGCTTTGAAGAATAGGATTTTCACCTGGAAGCAGACATAACAGGAGTTTAAGTTTGATTGACTTAATTTTTTTTTAAGATTTTATTTCTTTTTTAGAGAGAGAGAGTTCATGGGGAGAGGGGAAGAGTGAGGAAGGGGAAGAGGGGGAGAGAGAGGGAGAGAATCTCAAGCAGACCCCACACTCAGCATGGAGCCTGACCTGGGGCTCACTCTCATGACCCCAAGATCATAACCTGAGCCAAAACCAAGAGTCCAACACTTACCCAACTGAGCCACCCAGACACAGCTTAAATTTGATTTAGGAAAGAGTCTGCCTGACTCACACCATCATCAGCCCAGTTCTTTTCTCCACCCTCCATACCCTCCCAGACCCAGTCAGGGGCCACCTCAGCCATCCCAACTGACTGATCTTTCTTTCTTTCTTTGCTGACTTTGGTGGGCGGTATGTGCTCAGTCAAAACTAAACCTCAGAGAGGAAACAAACTGGAATGGTTCTGGCTTAACTTGGCCTTTTCTGGGACAAAGATGTCCCACAACCCACACTCTTGACCTATCAGGCTACTGAATTCCAAACTAGTGAAGTTCAAAGAGGGCAACTAGCTGGTGAAATGTGTATTGACACCATTGACACTTTCACTCTCTGGGAGCTGAGTGTAGTCAAGAGACCAATGGTGAGCATAGGCAATAACAATCCTAGAAAGTGTAGAATTTCAAAACGTGACAAAGGGACTGTATCAACTTGACAAGTGTCTAGGAAGGAACTTACCCCTGGGATTTTTAGAGTCAGGGATTTTCCCTTGTATGCCTCCTCACCAAATTAAAATTAATCTGTACTTCAGTACAAAAACCTATAGGTTGAGTACCTTTAAGAAAATATGACAGTACTTGTAAGGGCTGTTCAGAAACTACAAATCAAAGTATCAGAGAAAAGTTTGGCTTTAGATATCTGGACTGGATGTTACTGGGAGACAAAGCTCACCCAAAACAAATACATCACTAACATACTTCCTTACACCCAGTACGGTATCCTCTAACACGCTAAGTGAATGATTCTTGCCTAATCTCATTGATTGATCCTGTTGTTTTTCTCCATCCTCTAATTATGAGCGCCCCCTTGGATCAGTTTTGCTCCCATCCCAGTCTTTCTTCTGGGGACAACTTATCCACATTCTGGCAGTGCATTGCACAAATATGGCTTGAGCACCAGCTCTAAGCCAGGACAAGACACCAGGACCCTCCAATACCACACTGTCCATGAGCCAGAGGAAAACGCTTGAGTAAGGACAGTACAATGTGATAAGCACTTAGTGCACATTACCATGGGAGAAAAAAGAAGGGTGTGACTGACATCTGAGGAGTCTTTGCAGAAGGAGATAGTAGTAAAAGACGACCAAAATGTTGAAAGATGGACAGGACAACTTGGGGCTAAGGGAACAGTAAGTGCAAAGGCATGGAATTATGACACAGCACAGCACTTTTGGAAAAGGACAAGAAGTCTGGCATGGAGGAACTTAGGGGGATTCAAGTGGGTGTAAGGAAGTGAAGCTGGAGATAAAGGGAGTGTTGTGGAGGGTCCTGCTAAGCCCTGGTAATAAGTTCTGATTTTATTCATTGTGTATTGAAAACCAGTAAAACGGGGTAAGCAAGAAAGAGACACAGTCATATTTGTATCTTAAAATGGTCCCAGTTTGGATGTTCTCCTGCAAAGACCTAAGCAAGTAAAGGCATTTTAATAATCCAGAAGAGAAGTCGTGGCAGCCTGACTTCCATGGAGAGGAGATGGGAGGAAAGATGGGAGAGGAGATGGAGAGGAAGGACGGATTCAACAGGCGGAATTGATCAGGTCTATGAACAAAAGGATACAGGGGGCAAAGAGAAGGACTGATTAAAGGCAGATTCAAAGTGTTTAGCAGAGTCAGCAAGTTGGATGTTGGTATCACTAAATGAAACAAAAAATATGAGGCAAATGTGAAAGAGATGAAGCAAAGGGAAAGAAGAAAAATGATACCTATTTGGACATGAGTTGGAAGAGTCCATTGGGATATCTGAAGGCAGAGGTCCCGTGAGCAGTTGAATATAAGAGTGTGGAGCTTAGAAATAAATGTGGTGGTTAAAGCCTTTAGCAAGTGACAGCTTCAACCTTGAAAGGAAATGAAATCATCCAGGAAATACAGAATGGAAAGTACCTACTTTTATCTAGATACTCACATTTTTCTCTAATACTTTACTCTCAGAAAATCTGTGTCCTCCGTCTTCGTTTACTTACCAGACCTCTCCATTTGGACACCCTACCATCACCTCAAACGTGAATGAATCTAATGATGTTATAGGTCAAAAGTGGTAGAATATTGGAATTACATGTGATTCAGTCTTAATAACTGGCATATCACAACGGCATCATCAAAGCAATTTCCTGGCTTCCTTACCTTCTGGTGCACCTTCTTATAATTCATATTGGCATATACTTCTCCTCCCCTTCTTCATGTATTATTCCCCTGCTCAAAACCCATCAGTGATGTCCTATTAATTATTACAGTCAATCTAAGCCCCACACTCAATTCTATCACTTCTCAACATTATTCTCCACCAAATAGGGCTAGGCTCCTCAATGAACTGTGAATCAACCCACAGTGTTCAATCAATTCTTGGTTCATGTTGTACCCCTAATTTTCGAGTTCCTCCTCTAAACTTATCCAAATCCTGTTGAACATTGAGGGCAGCATTTGTCAACTTTTTGACTATGATTACCTTCAGTAAAGCCAACTCAAAACCCATTCTCGACCCTTTTCATCCTTGTCCTCTTTTATGAGAGGCGTTGGAGAAGTTCAGTGCCCTTTTTCTGAGCCTCCTTTGGAACCAGGAGAGGCCACGTGGTGCTGCTCTCTTTTTCTCCCTACCTTAAAACTGGGTACAGGTGGGGCACCTGGGTGGCTCAGTCGGTAAAGTGTCTGCCTTCGGCTCAGGTCATGATCCCAGGGTCCTGGGATAGAGCCTCATGTTGAGCTCCCTGCTCAGCGGGGAGTCTGCTTCTCCCTCTGCCCCTCCCCCTGCTCATGCTCTTCCACACACTCTTCTCTCTCTCTCTCAAATAAATGAAGAAAATCTTTAAAAAAAAAAATAGGGCACAGGTATCTAGAGCTGCAGGAGCCATCATGGGATGATCAGTCAACAAGTCAGCACACGAAGGATTACAGGTGGTGAAACACAGATTCCTGGGTCCTTGATTCTATCCCTAGGCTAGGCCAGGCCAGGACTGCCTACCTCTAGGCTTAAACTATGGGAGAAAATAAGCCCCGAATTGTTTAGGCTACAGTTGCCTGTCTTGTTTGTTTGTTGTTTGCTATTGCAGAAGATATTGCAAATTTATATACACAGCATGCTCACAGTATATATTTTCAAACAGTAGCATACTCTAATAGCCAATAAATTTGTGTGCGTCTTTATGCACAAAAATTAACATTCACCTGATAGTTCAAACAGGTATCTAATAAAAAGCCCTCAAAGATATGTAACTTCTATTCCACCAATGATGGCTTTTTGTAGCAGCTACTGTCTCTGAAGGTCACAGAATCTAAGAGAGGCAACAATTTAACCCTTAATTTGTATTAAAGAGTTTCAGTTCTTCAATAGCAATACGTTTAGTTATTCTATAAGCATTTAGTTCCCTTTTATTGCAACTGCAAAGGGAGTTCTAAATTTTCAGATTTTTATATTTTAACCTTCTGCATTCCCTCTAAAAAGAGATGGGCAAACCCTCAGAACAGGGTACTGCTGAGTCCTCTGTCCTGATGTGGACAGACGGCCATTCCATGCCATGGGAGACTTCCTCCAAGATGGCCTCCTGTGTCCGCATCTCTCCATATTTCCAGTGTTTGATCTGCTCCCCTAAACATGGGCTAGATTAGTTGCCGGGTCATTTGATAACTTGATGTTTATCATTTTTAGGAACTGTCAAGCTGTTTTTCTAAAGTGGCTGCAGGGATGCCTGGGTGGCCCAGTTGGTTAAGCATCTGCCTTCAGCTCAGGTCATGATCCTAGGGTCCTGGGATCAAGTCCCATGTCGGGCTCCTTGCTCAGCAGGGAGCCTGTTTCCTCTGCCTGCCGCTCCCCCTGCTTGTGTTCTTTCTCTCTGACAAATAAATAAAATCTTTAAAAATAAAATAAAATAAGATAAAATAAAATAAAGTGGCTACAGAATTTTATAATCTTAAACTACTTTTAATCTATGGAACACATGCAGATTATTTAACCTGAGTTTTCCATCACTGATGGAACAGGATAATTCCAAAATTAAAGACTAACATTTATTGAGCACTTACATGCACCAGCACTGTTCTAGGTAATTTCTAAGATTTCCTTAATTTAATCCTCTGTGATAAGGATGTCAGATAAAATAAAGGACACTCAGTTAAATTTGAATTTCAGATAAAAAAAGAATAATTATGTACTATGCCATCTTTGCCCAAGGTCTCACGTACCAGGATGGGAAACTAGGCCATTTGATTCTGGAACAACTGCTCTTAATTTTAAGTAAAGTCAAGCAGTTCTTATGAGACAAAATAAGTATGTAAAAGGATTTTGTACCCACAGTAGTAAATTTTCAATAAATGTTAGTTCTCTTCCAGGTATCTTCTTTCCCTGTCTTCCTTCTTCCCTCACTGCTCCTCAATCCTATTAGAATTAAATCAACCCTTTGGGTACCCATAGCACTTCGGGTGCCCCTACCTCCTTTGTAGTAATATTCTGCAGGTCAGTGTCATTGTTGAATGATCATAATTCCTGAATTGAGACTTTAATGAAAAGTTATTTAAATATTAATTTACTATGCCAAGTTATGGTAAGGACATCCTTGGGGAAAGCTTTAAGAAATAAACAATTACTCTTTAAAGGCAGATCAGGGAAGTGAAAGTTCCTGTTCTCTCTAAATTTGACACTTGACTTCTAATTTTGTTCTTTAAAAATAAGTAATTAATGATCAAGAACATCAAGTTTGATTGAAACACTGAGTACATTAATTACATTCCTATATTATGAATGCCAGTTGTTTAAATATATCAATGGCAATTCTTTTTTCCAGAAATGGTTTTCTCAAATGCATTAGTCTAGAATTCGCCCCAACAAAATTTGCTGGGATTTTTTAAAAAGTAGATCTTCAGCTTTCTGCAGTTTTCAAGGTGCCTTTAATCAATCATTAAACACAAGAAAATCACACCTTTTTTCCTTCTACATCTCAATGCTGTGTACAACAGTTATATCCCTATGAGTAAGTAGTGCACACTTGTTTGCTCTCTGGAATTTATTCAATTATGTTTGTAACTCAGTATACATTCATTCTTAGAAAATTAATACAGTTCAGAGGAAGAAATGCTGGTACATCTCCATTATCATCCTAAGATAACAGAGAAAATGTTAATATATAAAGCTGGTTCCCATATCATAGTAGTCATTTTGGTTACTGCCTTTCTTGACCTAACTGCTCTCTTTCTCCAGCTGAAAATTATGTTGGCTGTGAGCCATGCCACAGCACCTCCTCCCTGAGGAGTGACTCAGATAATTAGACAAAAAGCATTTAAGCCTCTTCAGGATTTTTTCAGGCTTCCCTTTTGACATTCCTTCTTCTTAAACAACTATTCATTTTGTGTAGTTGAGAGGAAAAAACTACGACCATTCATAAATCAGTCATGTCTGTTCTCAATCATCATCTTCAAAAAGGTATGATCAACAAATAGATGGTTCTTCATCACCTTGAGAAAGTCTTTGTTCACTGAATATTTTTTTAATACACAGTGTAATTTTTAGAACTTTTTAAAAAAGATTTATTTATTTATTTTGGAGAGAGAGAGAGCGAGAGCAGGGAGAGGGGCAGAAGGAGAGGGAGAGAGAGAATCCTCAAGCAGACTCCCTGCTGAGCTTGGAGCCTGACACAGGACTCCATCTCAGAACCCTGAGACCATGACCTGAGCTGAAATCAAGAGTCGGTGGCTTAACCAACTGAGGCACCCAGCACTCCTAAAGCTTTTTTTTTTTTAGCTTTTTATTATGGATAATTTCAAACATACAAATGATGAATTCTCCATGTACCTATTCACTTGATTTGAACAATTGCAATTGTATAGATTTTCATCTGTAATCCCACTCCCAGATTATTTAATACAAATCCTAGTCATATAATTTCATCTTTAAATGTTTCAATGATACTAGCATAAATCTTGAATTTTATTTCTGCTTTAGTTTTTTTTTAATTATTAAACTAGAGGGGAAAAGAGAATAGAACTAACTTCTATCCATCGCTTCTCGGCCTTTTGGCTAAGATCAAGTGTAGAACTAACTTCTATCGAGTGCTTAACATGATAGAGACTTTCTCCTAAATTACTGCTTTTAATGATCAAACCCTGCAGGGCAGACATTACCATTCCCATCTTTAGAAAAGAAAAAAGATATAGAGGGGCGCCTGGGTGGCTCAGTCAGTTAAGCGTCTGCCTTCAGCTCAGGTCATGATCCCAGGGTCCTGCTCATTGGGCTCCCTGCTCAGCAGGGGGTCTGCTTCTCCTTCTTCCCTCCCCCCATTTGTACTCATGCTTTTGCTCAAATAAATAAATAAATAAATAAGAAAATAGATAAAGAGATAAATTTTGCAATGTCATTCAGCTATTGAGTAGAGGGGCTGGGATCCAAACCTAAGTCTGTCTTACTGGAAACCCTATGCTCTTTCCCCAAATCAACCCTATCTGGTAGGGAACTAAAATGGGATGAAAAGATAAGAAGAGTCTTATATGATACTTTGAGGAAAGGGGGATCTCTTCTACCTTCAGTCTTCCCTCTGACCTATGAATGGCATTCACAACATCATACATAGGATGTTTCCAGATCCTAATTTCTCTAATATTACTAATACCGGAATCCAGAATCCAAAAGTCACACAGTTTCTTAACTCACTGGATGCTCAGCAAAACAACATGGACTCTGAGGTGTACCAGTAGGCAACATACTTTAGGTTTTATTAGGACGGGACAGGCAGCAAGAAAAAGAAGAGAAAAGAAAGGAAAAGAAAAGGAAAGGAAAGAAAGGAAAGGAGAGAAAGCCTAGATATCACCAAAGGTATGAAAGGAGAAAAATTAACATGTCTAAGCATATGGAAACAATAGCCCTGACAACTTACTAATTAGGAAGATTAGTTACCCAGGATGTAATATAGAAATTTTGTTGTGCTAGTCTAAAATCTCCATTCAATGACACATCCCACAAATAATAAGAGTACCTATTCACATTTATTTCAATATTTTCTCCAAGATGCCACTAGCATATTATTACACAAAGTAGAAAAAAAAGAATAAAAATGTAGTGTTTTGTTCTAGATTTCAAGTTTGCCTTGATGAAAAAACAGGACTTAAGATTCCTAAAGTAGTTTTCTAAATACCAGGTTCTTATGTGAAATG